TGGAGATGTATCTGCCAACACATATTTTTTCAGCTTTTTTAATTATTTTCGTAAATGCATCTACAAAATATTTTCGTATGTGCATTTACGAAAGAAACTCAAAAACAAAATACCAGAAAGTCAACATTGCAACGATAAAATCAACATTTATAAAATAAAATTGACGTTATATTGATGATTTCGACAAAAATTAAATACTACATATCAATAGCCCGGTGGACGCTTGCACATCTCTAAAATGTCATCGATTGTTCTTCGGACCGTCGCCTCCAACTCGAGCAAAATTTTCTCTTCGAAACCGAAATACGTTCGCCACATCGCCATAACATCATCTTGATTCTTGAGCTCAAACTTGTTGTAAACAACGTTCCCTTCGTTGTCAACTGAAGGTGAACAATACTCAAGGTTCACAACCTTTCGTTGTCATTGTAAGGTAGGCGATATTGGATCTCATCTATGATATCGGGGAGGGGGTGAGATCCATGAGTTTGAATGTCCTCCCGAGTGTTTTGCCGTTTGAAAATAAGACACTTGCGACAAAAATTTGTGTGAAAGATAACAAATGACACCCCAAATTTATAGAAAACCTAGGTGAATATGGACCAACCATTTTCTGTCAAACTTTTTTCCGGAGGTGTACCTCTGGAACTTTCCCTGAAACTACAAAATTAAGAACCTCCCATAGATACATATTTGAAACTTTCCCTGCTACATTTTAAAACCAAAACTCAATATAGAAGCACATCATAATAGACAAATAAAAGGCATTAGTGCATAAATAAGGCATAAGAATAAAAAATGATTATTTTGCACTTCAAAATTTTTACAATTAGTCCTCTGATTATACAAGAATTCAAAACGAATCAAAACAAGTGTCGCCGACTAAATCTATTGGTGGTACCCCTTTGGACTTTTCCGTATTCGATTCCTTTTCAATGTTGTTCAATCTTTCAAATTCGTGCATCCTTTCAACAAATCGATCCGGCCAAGTCTCGACATTTGTGGTTGAATGAGTCACCAATTCCAGTGATGTAGGTGGTATGGGGCATCCTGGTTTCAAGTAAACTTGTACAAAATGTCTTAATTTTGCAAGTCATCCAATACATATGATGCGATCATTTGGATTTTGAGGTGATGTGGTATGGAGTGGAAAAAAGGTTTCCGAAAATCCGTATCGCGTCAAGTCAATGCACACCCTATCATATGCACATGCAATAAGATGACCCATATCAGGGAAGGTCATCCATTTTGACACTGGTGCTGGACCACTCAAGTAAGGAACAAGAGATTCATAAACCGCATCAAATTTTTCTTTCTTTCCATACAACCGCGTGTACGATTATTTATGCGTCTTCAACTCTTGGATTAGTTGATGACGGACAAACGCATGACTATCCTCTCCTTTACCAAGCAAAGCCAAAACAACTCAGTAACCTTAAATACCATCCCCTTCAACATCGACGATGTGGTCGATGTATTTGTGCATAAAAATTGGCATCTCGTCGGTGAATGAAATTTTCGATGGAATCGGGGTCGGAGGCAGTTTGCTTATGCAGGCTCCTTTCATGACACTCTTTTGATATTTAGGAGTCAATGAGTTGGGATAAAGTTTGTCAACGTGCTCACAATAAGAAGGAAACCGTGTAGTCGAGTTGTCATTCGATGTAAGCTTCATTTTCTTTGGAGCACCTTTTGTCTTTACCGGTTGAGAACGCGGTTTCATGTCGATTCTTTCGGGATATGCAATCTTCCTCAATTGTTCTTTGATGTGGAGTTTCATGTTATCACCGGCCTTTAAGAAACTTTTGTATCGCTTCCCATTCGGTTAAAATAGAGATATTCGGTTTACCTCCTTCCATGAAACCATCATCATCAAAACTAAGTCTTTTCCAATGAGGGCAAACTTCATCCATTCTTATTGGCTCACCTAGTTTCAACTTTTTAGCAATAACACAAGCACACGGAAGACCACAGGTTTTCACAATAGTGCAACCACACTTTGCGCTATCGGAACCTACAGTTTCAACTCGTCTGCCCTCGTGAAAAATATAGTTCAACCCCGGCCGAGACATATTGTCGATCAATTAAGAATAAAGAATGTTGTCTTTAAATCAATGTTCCAATATCGTTATACTCCGATCAAATGTTGTTTGTATCTCATTATGTTGATTTTTAATCATGAGATTTACGGAGTCCCAATCTCAACACAAATCCCCTTGCTATTACCCAACCAAATTTTCAAACTAGCATGGGCCGACTCAACTCTGTTGGTGGTTGTATTTCCAAGGTGTCAGACATTATCAGTCCACGTACAAACTATCTTCTCATTCACCTAATCCAGAATAGTACTTTCACCGTATTTCAATAAAGCAGGATACTTTTCACACACTTTCCGGAATTGAATGAAGGATTCGGCATATAATTCTTTTGTTGAAGAATTTAGTATACGATTCCATGCATCCATGATTTTTTCAACAATCACACCGACCATCACCAATTTTCCACCTTCAGACTCAGCTTGTTTCGCCCCCATCGCACGTTTAACCCGACTTCTCACATTCTTTGTTATGTGATATCAACAAAGTAATGCATTAGAAGAAGGAAATACCTTTGCAACCGCATTCATGAACGCGGTATCGCGGTCGGTAACAATCACTTTAGGCATCTCAACTTGATCCTTCAAAAGTGACCGACACACCTCTAATGCCCATGTAAAATTGTCCTCCTTTTCACACTCCAGAAAAGCAAAACCAACGGCATATGTCTTCTCGGTAGACGTAACACCAACCATCTAATATAAATGAAGTCTATACTTGTTGGTAGTGTAGGTAGAATCAATAATGAGCACTGTCGAGAACGTGTTGAACAACTTTATCGAATCCAGATGAGTCTAAAAAATATCTTTGACCGTAACTCCATCGTCGCAAGTTCTGTACCAGAACACGTAACTGTTATCATCCAACAATTTCAACAGTTGTTACATCTCACTTCTATCTCCCCTAATCACTTTGTTGGTGCAGTACCGAATGTTATACACTTGTCTTATATTTGATATATTGTCGGGTTCCTTCCGTTTCAATGTGGCAAGTATATTTTTTGGTTGGACAAGATTCAAGGTCATGTCACTAATACATGTCTTCTCTTCCGGTTTAAGGCGACATACACTAAGATGGTCTTGCAACTTTAAGCACAATTCATAGTTATGCAAACCACAAATAACACTAAATTTTCACTTTTTGTATATTTTTTCATCAATACCAAAAAATTCTATCGTCCTTTAATATACCTTCATTAAAAATATAAGATAATTTAGTTTTTATAGGTCTCATTATATATATATATATATATATATATATATATATATATATATATATATATATATATATATATATATATATATATATATATATATATATATATATATATATATATATATATATATATATATATATATATATATATATATATATATATATATATATATATATATATATATATATATATATATATATATATATATATATAACTAAAATTTAAAGTTAGTTTAATATAAAAAAATAGATAATATAACTTAAATAAAAATATATAATAATTTAGTTTTGATATTATATTACGAAGCACAAACTTAAAATTTAACATTAATTTAATTAAAAAAATAGAAACCTTCGTATCAAATTAGTGAAGGGAGATGTTAAGAAAACATTAGTAAAAAGAGATGTTAGAAAAATGAAAAATTGATAAATGTTGCAAAATTAAATTAATGTCTATGTTCTTTAAGTTATTTTAAAATATCAAGTTAATTCTTTAATTTTTTTGGTAATGTTTTAGTCATTTTTTAAAAATCTCCGTTATATTAAATTACAAACTCATATATCATTTGAATTGATTTTTCGCGCTAATCACGAATATGTAATTAGTTTTGCATTTGATTGTGTATTTTGGTCGAATCAATGATTTTTCATTATATATTTCGTCTATTTTTGCTTAATTCTTATTAATCGTAACTTGTTTAATAAATTTGATTACATATTCATGAAGAGTATAAAAAAACCAATTTAAATTGTATATAAAAATTTATAATTTATTGTAACAAAAATTTAAAAAAAAAGATCAAAGTGTACCTACTAATGCTTAGTTGTTGTTATTTTATTTCTCAAAATGAAATAACTCTAATAAAAAAAATCATTTGTGGGGGGTACAATATCAACTGTCTAAACTCATTTTCAGCGACTTAGCACAACTGATTAATGAAAGCATCTATGATAATTATTGTCTATTTATGTTAACAAATTAATCTTCTACACTCATTGTTGATATCAGAATTACTACATTTACCTGCTTAAACATGTTATCAAGAATAATAATATCTCTCTCTTTCATATTTCACATTATAGACAAAATTTATCTTTTTAAATTTATTAAGTAATTGATTAAATGAATTTGCAGATGTAAAATAATATTTATTTCTAGTTTTATATATGTTTCTTTTCAGATGAAAAAAGAAAAGAAAGAAGAACAAGAAATTTTAACTTTTTTTTTCTTTATAACAAAAAGCAATCATTAAATAGTACTATCGTGTTTCACGTGTTGAATTTTATAATAGAAGAAATGTAGAATAACAAATAATCGCTTTTTCAATCCCAAATTGCAATAAAAAATATCACATGTGTATGATGAGCAGTAGTATAACATAAATAATCGCTTTTTCAACTCCAGTCAATTCAACACTGTTCTTCCTTCTTACCATTATCAGGTATCTATCATATGCTTCTCAATTCAAACTTTTATTGTTCCATAAATATTCTCCTAAACCTAGAAAATCACTTTTAATTATTAGTTGGAAAATCACTTTTTCTAATAATCAGAAACTAGAAAATCAGTTCACAGCTGAAGCTCTATGAAGCCTAATTTACTGTAATTTTTCTCAATTTAAAAAATCAGGTTGTGATTCAAACCCTTGGTTCAGTTGTTTTGCAGATCAATCAAGAAGCTTAACAGAGATGAATATTATTTCTAGCATAGCTTCAAATGTGGCTTTACCTGTTTTTCGAGAATTCACTTATGTATTGATGTACAATCAAAACCTCATCAATCTCGAGACTCAGATTCAGAAGCTGCAGAGGGAGGAGAAAGAAATGCGGCACAGTGTTGAAGCTGCCAAACGGAACGGTGAGGAGATTGAAGACACGGTGCGCGACTGGTTTTTTAGAGGACAGGCAGCCATAGAAGAGGCGCAAGAGTTTCTTCACGGCGAAGATAAAGAGAGAGTTGGATGCTTAGATGTGTACTCTAGGTATACTAAGAGTCAGAGAGCGAAAACCCTGGTGGATCTGATTTGTGAGATAAAAAACGAAATGTTTGATCGGATTTCGTACCGTTGTGCTTTGAAATGTAATTTTAGCTCTAGTGCTAGAGGTTATGTGGATTTGGAATCGAGAACGGAAATGTTGAATGAGATTATGAATGTGTTGAAAGAGGATTCTAATGTTCATATGGTTGGTTTGTATGGAATGGCTGGTGTAGGTAAAACTGCATTGGTGAAGGAGCTAGCATGGAGAGCTGAGAAAGATGGTGTATTTGATCTGGTAGTTATGGCTAATGTGACGAATTCTCCGGACGTGGGAACGATTCGAGCTGAAATAGCCGATGGGTTAGGGCTTAGGTTTGATGAGCTGACTGAGGTGGGACGGGCAAGTAGGTTACGTCAAAGGATTAGGCAAGAGATGAAGATTCTTGTGATATTGGACGATGTTTGGGGAAAGCTTTGTTTAACCGAGGTTGGTGTTCCTTTCGGCGACGATCATAAAGGTTGCAAAGTATTGGTGACATCAAGAGATCTTAATGTGCTGACTGCTAACTTAGGTGCAAAGAAGGTTTACAGACTCGAAGTTTTGTCAGAGGATGAGAGTTGGAGTTTGTTTGAAAAAAGGGGAGGGGAAGTTGTTAAAGATCTTAGTATTCAGCCTTTAGCAATGAAAGTAGCGAAAAATTGCGCTGGTTTGCCGCTTTTGATTATTAATTTGGTGGAGGCATTGAAGAACAAGGATTTATATGCATGGAATGATGCACTTGAGCAGTTAACTAATTTTGACTTTGATGGATGTTTTTATTCTGAAGTGCATTCAGCTATCGAACTAAGTTACGAGCATTTAGAAAGTCAAGAACTTAAAACTTTCTTCCTTCTCTTAGGTTCAATGGGAAATGGTTACAACATAAAAGACATGCTGGTGTTTGGTTGGTGTTTAGGTTTGCATAAACACGTCGATACGTTGGCAGATGGAAGAAACCGGCTTTACAAATTAATAGACAACTTGAGAGATGCTTGTTTTTTGCTTGAAGGTGAAAGAGATTCGGTCGCGGTGCTTGAAGTTGTTCGCAATGTGGCTGCATCCATCGGGTCAAAGGTCAAGCCGTTCTTTACCGTGGAGAGGAACGCTGAATTAAAAGACTGGCCGCGAAAAGATGTTTTGAAAAATTGTCATCATATTTTTTTGGATTGGTGTTTGATCAATGAACTTCCTGAAAGGTTAGAATGTCCTAACTTGAAGATACTCAAAATTCATTCTCAAGGGAACTATTTGAAAGTTCATGATAATTTCTTTGATCAAATGAAAGAACTTAAGGTACTAAGTTTAGGAGGTGTGAATTGTACTCCGTCACTTCCTTCGTCTCTCGCTCTTTTGACAAACCTTCAAGCACTCACTCTATGCAAATGCATTTTGGAAGACATTACTATTGTTGGAGAAATCACAGGTTTAGAGATTCTTAATCTTGAAAAATCCGAGCTTAGAGTGATCCCTCCTGAAATAGGCCATTTGATTAATCTCCGGTTACTAGATTTGACCGATTGCTCGAAACTAGAAATAGTACCTCGCAATCTAATATCTAGCCTCACAAGCTTAGAAGAACTCTATATGGGAATGTCCAACACTCAATGGGAGGTTAAGGTTAAAGAAATCGAAAAACAAAACAATAATTCAGTTCTAGGCGAGTTAAGAAATTTGCATCATCTATCAACTTTGAATATGCAGATAAACGATACTTCAATTTTTCCTAGAGACTTGTTTTCCTTCGGAAGACTCGAAAATTACAAGATTTTGATTGGAAATGGATGGAAATTTTCTGAGGATGAGTCCAAGAACTACAAAAATTCAAGAGTTTTTAAGCTAAATTTGAGCATGGATTCAAGCATTCTTATGGATTACGGAATAAAATTGTTGATGGCTCATGCCGAAGATTTGTATATAGCTGAACTGAAGGGTAAGTATTTAGTCTTTTGTATCAAGTCAGTTTCAAACGTGTTTCGCTATAATAATATTTCTTATTTTCTTTATCTAAATTCACATAACTTTAACAGGTGTCAAAGAAGTACTATATGAATTAAACGACGAAGGATTTTCACAATTGAAGCATTTGAATATTCAAAATTGCGACGAAATGGAAGAAATTATTGGATCAACCGTATGGTCTAATCATGACCATGCTTTTCCAAACTTGGAATCTTTGATCATTCTCAATATGATGAAATTGGAGAGAATATGCAGTGATCCATTTTCAACACAGGCTTTTTCCAAACTACAAGTTATTAAAGTGAAAAAGTGTGATATGATGGAGTTTGTTTTCTTGCATTCAACGGTTAAACACCTTTCGGAACTTGTTGAAATTGAGATATCTGAATGTAGATTTATGAGCTATATCATAGCTAAGCAAAGACAAGAGGATGCAGGACAAACCAACAAGTTCACGCTCCCAAAAATGCGTTCTCTTACGCTTGAATCTTTACCTTCTCTTGTTAGTCTCTCTCCTGAGTCGTGCATTAACGATACTGAAAACAGCAACAATTTCTATAGTCAACTTTTGAGTGATGAGGTACAAACAAGACTTATTGTTGAACACACGATTTCACTATCTCACGTCTATTTCTCTGTAACTCTTGGTAATGACAGATTTTTTGTTTTGTTAGTGATAATTGAACTCTGATAACTTTGATAGGTTGAATTTCCATGTTTGGAGACCTTGAAGCTTCACTCAATCAATGTCCAGAGGATATGGGATGACCAGCTTCTGTCACGTTCTTGCTTTGAAAATTTGACCAATTTGACCGTAGATGGTTGTGAAAGGTTGAAATATCTGTTTACATACTCGGTTGCGGAAAAACTCGTTAAGCTTGAACATCTTTTCATCAGTTCATGCAAATTGGTAGAGAGGATATTTGTTCCCGACGAAATTACGAGTAACATTTTTCATACTAGAAAATCTCCGGTTGAAATGGTAAGCATTTCAAATAACTTCAATTTTTCCTTTGTCTATAATATTTCTAGATTTTTTGTTAGTTATTAGATGAACTTATCTATTGTCATAAGCACTTGTATGATTGTTTAGGAGAGCTGATGACATTTTTTCAACTATATTTTCTGTTTATTTCCATAAGATCTTCAAGATATAGCTTATGAGAACAACTTATAACTTATATGAAAACCATTTGACATTATTTTATCTTTTGTTATCGAAATATCTTATACATAAGCCCTTAATAATAGAAACTTATATAATAAGCGCTTACCCTAAAAGTGCTTAAGTAAGCTGTTTACAATTGCTTATTATGAATCTGAACTATGATATAGGTTCCACTCTTCCCCAACTTGGAGACATTGGTGATTTCACAGATGGACAACTTGAAGTCAATATGGCCACTCATACTCATTCAAAACTCCTTTTGCAAATTGAAAAAACTGGAAATCACATCATGTGACCAGCTTTTGAATGTGTTCCCAAGTCACGTGCTAAACAAATTACAAAGCATGGAGTCATTGAATTTAGGGTACTGTCTTGCACTAGAAGTTGTATACGAAATAGATGCTATAAGAGAACAAGAGCTCGAAATCGTAATTCCACTGAAAACATTATCTCTAGAAAATTTACCAAATCTTAAGTATTTATGGAATAAGGATCCTCGAGGAAAAGTCAAGTTTCAAAACCTGTTTATGGTAAAAGCTACAAAATGCGAAAGGCTAAACCATGTCTTTCCATTTTCTGTGGCCAAAGATCTTTTGCAACTACATGTACTAGAGGTAAGTGATTGCGGTGTCGAGGAAATTATTGCAAAGGATCAAGGAGAGGTAGAAGAACATGTTGGACTTGTTTTCTCAAGATTACTATCCTTAAAGTTATTGAATTTACAAGAACTTAGATGCTTTTGTAGTGGAAATCACAACTTCAGATTCCCATTGTTGAATCAATTATATGTGGTTGAGTGTCCTAAAATGGAGACTTTCTCTCATGGAATTTTACGGGCGTCGATTCTCCGAAGAGTTTGTTTGAACGAGAATGGAGATCAACGGTATTGGGAAGGTGACCTTAATACTACTATAAGAAAGCTTTTCAACAAAGGTATGTTTGTTTTAATCAGAACTTATGAATAACAACTCTAACTGTAATTTCTATATTCGAGGTTTTCAATTCATGAACCATAAATTTCAACAATAAATTCGAGCTCACTTTATGCTGAATATACTTTTTACAGATTTCCAAGGAAGACTATTGGTTTCATAAAAATGGCAGTGGATGAAATAGCAAATTCCATCATCTCTCACTCTCTTCAACCATCAACTTAATATCATGGACCTGAATTCGAATCCGAAGTGTGTCATGTTTTTGAATAAAATTTATTTTTAGCAAAGGTGGTAAAATTAAATTATTAAAGAAGCAACATATGGTTTGAATTCGCAAACCTTAGATAGTGAGCGCCCAACTTTACCAACTGAACCATTGTGAAAAAATATGAACGTTATAACATTACATTCGTTCATTATCAGATGCATAATTCATTTTCAACAGGTGTTTTCCTTCATCAAATGTCATGAATTTCTCTATAAATAGAGACATTTGAAAAGTAGAAAACACATGAAAATAAAAATATACACTCATTTTTTCTACCATTTTAATTATTCTAAATTATTATTTATTTATGAGTAAAGTATAAAAATGAGTTTTTTGTAACCGGTTATTAAAAAATAAGTTTATTGTGTTTGTGCAATTCACATTAAAGTATTCAAAGTATCTTGGACGGAATTCAAAGTTAATCCCTATTACATCTGATATATAATAATTGGTAGGAGCGAATTGAACCTAAAGGTTAGTGTGAAACTCACACGCTTTAAATTTTCAAGTACAACCTTCATCAACTCCTTATTTGTTCTATTTTTGTTACATATTTTTAACAACCACAATATTCAACCATCTTTAGGTTCAATTTTTACTTAAACTATGGCAACGTTACTTAAAGAGATAGACTTCTAATTTTGTTAATTTTGATAAGTTTGATGTTTTGATAAGTTTGATGGAGACAACTTTATCCGTTGGCAGAAAAAGATGAAATTTTTGTTTCCATTTTTAAAGTGGTATATGTTATGAATACAACAAGGCCCTAAGAAAAGGAAGAGGAAAGAATCATTGAAAAAAGAGGGAGGCAAAAATGGGACAATGATGATTACATTTGCATGTGTCATATTCTCAACGGTATGTCAAATTCCTTGTTCGATATTTATCAAAGCAGTCAATCCGCAAAAGATCTATGGGATAAACTAGAGTCGAGATTTTAGTTGCATGTCCCTAATACATTTTTAGGGGAGCAACCTAATACGTTTATTTTGTTTCTTGTCTTATCGCTTTCATTTTGATTTACTTTCGATTATTTAGTCTCCTTCATGGTTGCACCTCTCTGGATCAAATTTTAAAATGATTCATTTTTAGCATGCATAAACTAGTGGTTACGTTTGAACTTGATCATGATAATTTTAATCAATTGCATGAGTTAGTGGAATAAGAACCATATATATTTTTGACTAAATTTAGGTGGAAAGAAAAATCTCAGTCTTTTGAAAATTAGGAAAAATTAGGATTTTTGGTGTTTGATTCGAATCAAGCACAAATCTTGTTTCAAATCACTTTGGATAGAGGAAAACCAGAAATTTTCAAACAATTTGATTCGAATCAAATTTAACACATGATTCAGATCAGCCAACTATGGGTCACCTTTGCCAGAATTAATTTGAATCAAACTTTACACCTGATTCGAAGTAGACAAATTTTCTACATTTTTCAATTAGCTAAGATTGATTGATTCAAATCATATTTAACACATGACTCAAATCATATTTAACACATGATTCAAATCATGATTTTCTTCTAACTCGTATCAACTGAAAAATGGGTCAAAACTCTTTTTCCTTTATTCCACTTCACTTGTTTAGTTGATTTAAATTATGAAATGCTCTTGATTCAAATCTAGCTAAATTTTCATCAATATTTTGTGCTTAACCTCAAGCAAATATAGAACCTTTTTGTCATTATTTTTCATGTAAGGAATCAACAAATTCATATTCATTTTTGTGTGAATTTGTGAAAAATCAATACCCCATGTTTTTGAAATTTTAAGTTCTTGAAGTGAAATTCTTACATCTTCAACTTCAATTTGATTACATATCTTGATAATGAGATATTCGTAACTGATTGAAGGTGATACACTCTTGAAAATAACCGTTCTTGAAGATTTGGTTGAGATTTTCAGGTAGTTTGCAAGATTGAGGTGATTGTCACTGGTCCCGACAAATTCCAGTGAAAAGATGGAGGTTCTTCTCTTCAGATTGCCTTGGTAGTGACTGTGTGAAAGACTACAGATAAGGCATATTTTCTCAAATATTTGGACAATTCATCGCTCAAGGAATCAGTAGGATCAAGGGGTTGATTGCAAAAGTTGAAAAAATTAAAATCTGATTTAACTTATCCATCAGCCAATTTAACAAAATTAGATGTCATTTCTTTGATTGGAATCTTTTATAATTCTCAGCATTATTGTAGATTGATGATTGTATGAACTCTTACACATATTTGTCAAATAAAAAGGAACAATGCAGATTCTAATGGGAAACTATTGAAGAGTGCATGTAGGCAAAGCGAGGACGAATGTCGAAGCACTATAAATCTCAGTGTCATCTCTATCCTTACTCTTGCATTTAACTTTTTTAGGATTTGCATGCTTATGCATTTCAATTCTAGTGTAGTTTATCGTCTATTCAATTGGTAGAAATTTATTGCGTAAGCTTATGTTTTGTTAAAATTGGTGTCTAATCTAGCTGCATTAGTGATTAAAAATATGAGAAACAATTGAGGTTAAAATTCATTGTCATTGAATCAATGTATAGTAACATCTTGCAAAATATCAAATTAAGTCAATTTAATACCTTTGTGTATCATCATCAAACCATATATGGTGTTTGTGAATCAATTTAGTGTTAACATGATTGAGCTTCAAAAATATATTTTTCATATTTTTGCTTCAAACATTTGAAAAATCTCTGATATTCAAATCTTCCCCCTCTAAACTGTTTTTCTACTTCCATATTCTCACCCAAGAGAGATATATGCAAAAAGATGTCACAAGTAAGAAATTTTTTGTTTTACATTTCAATAATTATAAAATGATAGATAATAAATATGTTATGGAACAATTACATGAAATTGAGCGTATTTTCAATAATTACAAACAACTCAAAATGCACATGGATGAGACCATCATTATGTCTTTCATAATAGACAAACTTCCACCTTCGTGGAAGAATATAAAAAGACTCTAAAACATAAAAATAAGGATATATCTCTTGAGCAATTGGATAATCACCTTCGATTAAAAGAAGAGTATCGTAAAGAAGAAGATACTAAAGACCAATTTACTGATGAAAAAATACATGTTGTGGAAGATGAAAAATGTAAAAAAAGTCTAATGATAATATGAAAATAGATGGTGAAGATGTTCATGACAACAATGAAAATGTACAAAGAAAAAGAAAGAAAGGAAATTGCTTCTATTGTGACAAATCAAAAAATTTTAAAAGTGAATGTAGGTTCTTGAAAAAGATGAACAAAGAAAAGAACTCAAGTTCACAAAAGGATTATCTTGTTGCATAGAAGTAACTTCTAAAAATTAACCATTTTAAGAATGTGTATTCAATGTTGGAAAAGTTATAATTAAGTTTGTGTTGTACATTGTAGTTTTATTTGGTTTGTATAAATTTTTGTGATATATTTATATGAGAGTAAAATTTATATTTATTTACAAAGATATTTAATATTAAATTTGATTGTTAATATTTTCATAAGTATTAATCATAAAGTATTGAATTTGTCTTTTATAAAATTTGTTATATGAATAAATATACATATAATGAATTTAATATGTTTTGGACTAGTGTGATTTGATTTATCTTTAAAATGGAAAATATTGTTTTCTTTATTTTATTAAATCCATTTAAATGTTGTGACTTAAAATTCAATTTTATGTCATTTAAATTTAAAAAATAATTATTGGTAATTGTATAATAAATTTCAAGTGTATGTATATATGTTTTGTATGTCATGTAAACGGTAAAAGTCTATTTAAGAGAATTAAATTAATCTACTTATTTAGATTTAATTTTGATATGTGTTTATAATTTACTTGATTAAATGTATGATAAAATATTGATCATGATTGTTTCGGATATAGAAATTTGATAATCATGTTTATCATGGTTATTTTACATGCTTATTGTATTAATATATTGTGTGCATATTAAAAAAAAAGTCAAACTTTAAATTGTAATGTTTGTTATAAAATAATTTATAATTGTTTACTGTGAAATTTAGCAAACAACCGCTGGTCTTTCAAATCGAAAAGGAATTTAGTTATTTGCAGGATCGACCACACTGATCCTAGGACATGTGCTAGTTAATCTTAAAATAACGTTTGGAAAATGATGAATATTTCGACAATATTCATGATCTAAAAGTTAACAACTTTAATAATTTGAAGAAAGTAAATTGCAGAAACTTAATCGAAACGCAAGTAAATGTATTGAAAATGACTTGAGCAATAAAAAGATAAACTTGTGGGAAAATGATAAAACTTGAATTAAAGTGTAAAGATATGTTTTATCAAACATACATTTTCTCAACTCACTCTTTTCTCTGCACACGGGTACTTTGAGTAATTCTAGATATTTTGTATAACTTTGAACACACACAATCCTAATGCTAAGACTGCCTATTTATAATGATCTAAATAACTGTCTCTAACGGCCTTCCTATGAAAATAAGACAAGTGGTGCTCGACATGTCTTTTTTTCTTGAAAATACTCCACTTGTCTCTCTTAAAATCTGGATAAGAACAAAATTATCTCCTTTATTTGAATTCAAACCTTACGTTGAAACACCATCAGTAGTTCCCTGTCGAATCCACTTCCAAGACTTAGAATATTTTTTTCCTAAATCTATACAACATATTATTCTTGTATAAAGGTAACTTCGACCAAACCCAGATTTCACAGTTTTGTCGAAGTTTCCATAACTTCATATAAATTGTTTTTTTAATTAATTCCATTAATCTAAACTAGGCGTCGAATTTGAGAGCCAACAATTTGCCCCCCAAAAATGTCATTTTCGATATTACCAAAGAAAAAGATATTTTTTTGATAATCTTATTCGACGCCTCAAATGATCCATGTACGATTCGACATTTCTGATGAATCAATGTTATAAAATAGTTCTCCTTTTTCAGCGTGCTTATGACGTCACAATCATGATTACACTTTTTTGAAAAAACGTCCCCTCAACCCACGTGAGAATTTTTGTCATCATCACACCTCCTAGACCCTATGAAATCATGGGGCTAGGCATTAACTGGCACTATTCCATCAAGGATAGTGGAAAGGACACGCGTTCCACTCCAATTTTAACCATTAATGCCATCTTTGAACCGCTACCACTTCCATCCTTATAAATACTCCATTTTCCATTCCTTTTCACTTTTTATGTTTTTTGAACTCTCAACCCTCACAATCTTCTTCTTCCTCAAAGAACCTAATTTCTTTTCCTCTTCACATTTCAACGATGGCTTCATCAACTCGATCCACTAAAGATTCCAACAAGGCCACTAAGGAATCCACCAAGCCTGCGAAGGTTCCTAAGAAGATTTCTAAGTTTCCTCTCTTTGGCAGGATCACTTGTCCAACTATGGTGGGAAATCAACAATATCTGCCTGAATCGCTTGCTGAGGAAAAGAGAAGAATTTACAATTCTCAGGTACTCATTCCTCTCACTGTTGCTGGTAAGCCTTTGGCTTTATTAGGTCCTTTATCTGATGTTAGTGTTGATCCCAACAAACTTAGAGATTTCTTTCCAACTTAATATAAGTACAAACCCCTAGGGCTAGTAATGAGGATCCCAATCTCGCTAATCAGAGCAACCCTCCGACTGAAGAAGCAATTGAACTTGGGTACATGAACAATTTTAAGGTATTTCAAGCAAGCCCAACTTTTAAGGATTCCTCCAATTATCTAGGATGGTTAGAGGAAATAGAAAAAACAAAGTCTCAAGTCTAGAAAGACATGGGCATTTTCGATTTGATTATGGTGTCGAAAGTAGGTCCTGACTACTGTTCAAACATGCTTGTCTCCTTCTTGTATTTTTGGGATAGCACCCATTACACTTTCCATTTTCCCTGTGGAATGATAACCCCCACCTTATTCGACGTAGTCGCTATCACAAGGCTCAAACCGACTGGCACATAACACGTTACCATGAAAAAGATGTAGAGGAGGTTTCTAATGTAGAGCACATAGCCTTCCTCGCATTATGGTTGTCTCGCTGCGTCTTCTGTTCGTAGTCACTTCACGTAGCCATGAAATTCCTAACCATGGGGAAGCAACTCCACTATTGCCATAACCTATGTTTGAGCGAACTGATTCTGGCCAATCTTTATGAATCTATGAGTGAAGGAGTTACCCAGATTAAGTGTCTAGGAGATAAGGGGATCTCCTCCTTTCTTGGTCTTTCTGACTTCTGCAATTGTGGCTGAATGCTTCATTTAAAGCTTATCTTCCTTACAAAAATCCAATTAATGAAGATGTTGATGAAGTGAAGAATAGAAGAGTCGAAGGGCCACGCTTGGCTAAATTAACTCCTAGTGACGAAGGTAGACATATTCAACATCCTTCATTAACTATATCATGATGTTTTCCAAACGCTACGACTTCTCGCCGAACATGACTCCCTTCGCTGCAAGGAAATATGGTCCTGAATGGTTTACTAGGCCATCTCCAGCTCCATCAAAGGCCCAAGAAGCAAAGCTCATTGCAATCTGGGAAGCTTTTCTAACTTCCAGGTTTCTATCCCTAAGATTCAATCTTTCGAAAAGTCCGGTTACCTTGATTGCTTATCAACCCAAAGTTCAAAACAATCGATACTAGAGCTGATGAAGTTTGAGCAAAAGAAGACGACTGCACCAATGGCAATGTCACAGTCATGGCCAGAACCTAGATCAAAACCTTTCAATCTAATACCATATTGAAATTAAGAGAGAACGAGAGATTATAACTACATTTTGAATCTAACTAACCTTTAATTTCTAATTTTGAATCTAACTAACTTTTAATTTCTGAATTAATTAGTTACAGCTTATATTCAGTGCTCAAGCTCACATGTCTCAGTCTTAGTCTAACACTACTAGATACTCTAATACTCTTACAACAAAATAATTAAGAGTATTTTCTTATAAAATCATAATTAATACTTCATTAAATTTTCAAAACGACATATAAATAGAGATAAAATCAAAATTCCACTAAAGTGACAATGAAGTGGGGTAATTATTATTTACAACACAACCAACATACTGAATTAATTTCAACTCTTGTTTATTTATTCAATTGATCTTTCTATGGAAAAGAAGAACAAGAGTAATACAAAAATGCAAATTTTGAAAAGAAGAAAAGTCACACACCAAACACTTTTTGTACATACAAGCAAAACTTGCAAACACATATTCAAGTGGTTACATGCAGTTCTTTAACTGATCACCAGCTCCTTGGAAAAAACAACAAGAAAGAGCAAAATCAGCAATAAAGATACCAACAAGAGAAATAACAACAGCTGAAGTTGTTGATTCTCCAACACCTTTAGCACCTCCCATAGTTGTAACTCCCCAAGCACAGCTCACTATAGATATGATAGCACCGAAAGCCCCCGACTTTATCATCGCACTAATAATGTCCCATGCTCGAAGGGATCGCTGAGCCGAATCCAATATAATGTTAATGCTAATTCCGTAAACACCGTCCGCGAGAAGAGCGCTAGATGCTAACCCTAATGTAAAACACAGTAAGGTCAAAAGAGGTAAGGCGATACAGGAAGCAATCACTCTTGGTGTCACTAGGTAATCGACAGGGTCTGAACCGAGAACTCTTAATGTGTCGATTTGTTCGGAAACCTGCATAGTTCCTAATTCTGCTGCAAAAGCACTTCCGATGCGTCCGGCAACAACTATTGCTGTAACAACTGGACTTAGCTCCCTAGAGAAAGCAAGAGCTAAGACACCACCTACTGATCTATTCAATCCTAACCTAGTGAACTCTCTCACGAATTGTATTGTGAATGCCATGCCAACAAAAGCTGAGGTTAAAAGACATACTCCAACAGATTTCGGACCAACTCTCTCCAGTTGTTGAAGAGTGTTCCTCCAATGAACCTTTCCCTTTAAAATCTTCATAACAACTTGTCCTGCTAGGATTAAAACTGATAATCCTCGCCATAGGTACCTTGGCGGTGACCAATTGTCAAGAAACATTGGCGATATAACATTAGGAGCATGATTTGTGTTTGTTTCATCGTCCTCTGTAGAAGCAGTCGGGTGGCCATCATTTGTGTTAGGGAGCACAAATAATCTATTTGGTTTAATGTTGAAGGGAGAGCTATAAGTATGAGGCCTCCTATTGAATTCACATTTCGAATCCAGTTGAGAGGGATAAGGTGCACGAATTTTAATCGAATTCCTCTTTGCATTTGTACTTAAGTTTCTGCAATATGGTAACAGACAATTAAATATTGCTAAAGAAAATATAAATTATAAATCTAATGGGAAAAAAGGAGTGCAAACCTGCAAGAGAAGCAGAATACAGGATGACTATAAAACGCTGTTTGCATGGTTAGATCCTTGACCGAGAATATCAAAGCTCTTCAATCTGTATATCACAATTTCATAATCTTGATAAACATATCGGTGTTGTTAAATAGCGGGTAAGCAAAGAGGAATCTAAACAGATTGCAATTGTTATGTGGTACGCTATTCAGTACAAAATGTTGCCATCAAATAGCAGCTATTGCATGGCAGAATCTGAAACAAACTATTATTTCCCATGATTTGCCACTATAATGCTGAAACAAATCAGATAAGAGTAAATAAACACAGTAGAAAATAAAAAGGCTATAGTAAGATTACAATATGGCTCCCATCCCATATTTAGGTCTGACCGTCTGAGGCTGTTTCATGTGGCTTTCTACATCAGACATAGAGAGACTAGACAACCTTTTCTTGACTATTTCATTTTCTTTGTTTTGAACAATAACTTATCCTCCTTCATTGTAGTACTCTTAACACAAACTGAATTTAAAACGAGCAAATAAGTTTAATTTAGAAGGCAAAAAATTCTTGGAAGATTTTTAACAACCTGCGTGGGATGTTCAAGCTTTGATCTTAAGAAAGACGATTCTTTCCTTCCCGGCCTTCCTCCAAAAGCTCTAAAAAGGAATGAATAAATGATATCATAGGTTAGTTAGATATGAGACCGGGTTGAGAAAAAGTTATTTAAAATAATATACAATGACACAAATGTTATGCCCCTTTGCCACATTAAGATTCACATAAAACTGCACAGAAACTTTTTTAGTGGAAAAAAAAACATGTTGAGTATATGATTACATATCCTTGCGATTATGAGCAGAGATGATGCTCTACGTGAATATCATAACACTCACTTCAGTCTGGTTAATCTTAAGCTTAAGATACAAAACAGGTGATACAACAGAGATATCATGATTATAGAAAGTTAATTAATAAGAATAAATATGTAACTCAATATGCTTATTAGTTTTAATGGTTATTTTAATGTATAAAATAGCTATTTTAGTAACCAACTAATCATGCTCTTTGGAGAAAATAAAACTTACAGTAGAATACAAAGTTAGTTACCCATCAAGTAATAACAACAAGTTCAAGACAATCCTAGCAGCCCCGTCATTTTTTCTTACTCAAGCAAAAAGGAGACTGAAAATTCATTCAGAAATGAAAAATATGTATGTAAGAGAAGCAATGACCCATAAAAGACAGTACGGGCCTTCTATAGCTATAAAAAGCATTATCCAACTCAAGCACAACGGCTAAGGATGAAACTAAGGGTAGTAGAATACTTGCAGGAGAAAAGGCATGTGACTCATGTTATAACCATTTACTTCTCTTTGTAATATACTATTTGCAAGAATTTTTGTAACGCAATTGGGTTGTTGAATAATAAAAACAAACAAAAAACATGTATCCTGAATTCAAAGAAACACTGCAATAAAAAAGAATGGCAAATTCACTATATTAGTGCATGAATGACATATGGTAGCTATATTTTAGCAAACAGAGCATACCCTGAATAGGTTTGGCAGATATTTAATCAAACAACAAATAAAAATAACTTTCCATTAGCTAATAGTAGTTATTAAGAGTCTCACATCAGATAGTATATAGATAGTATATGGCCTGAACATGTGAAGGTAGTCCTCACCCTATCAACCGATTTTGTAGAGTTGAGTTAGACTCAATCACATTTCTTAACAATGGTATCAGGAGCCTTTGGTTCGAGTAAAGAGCTCAGCTTACTTGTATCGAAATTCCCTACTGGGTAGGAGGTGACCTGTTGAAAAGTGTCAACAACGGTACAAGTGTATGTGGATAAAGAGTTTCCACTTAAGGGAAAGTGTTGAAAAAGAATTACAAGTGTGAGTAGTGTGGGAAAGTCTCACATTGGTTAGGAATGTGGAGACTTGAGTATTTATAAGTGGGAGAACTCACATTTATTTGCCTTAAGGTTTTGGGTGAGTATGTGTTGTGTCTCTCATAAAAGCGTGTTGCTCGTAAGAAAAAAAACCCCAAAGTGTAAAAATGCTCTCACGAGGAACTAGACTGTCAATACTGTTAAGAAATGTGATTGGGCCTAACTCAACCCTACAAAACTGGTTGGTAGGGTGAGGACTGCCCCCACTTATAAACACATGTTCAGGCCATATATTATCTTATGTGTTGTGGTTCCTCCTCTGAGCTAAGGCTACGTGTGGTTTATCTTTTATGCCTCACAAGCTCATACAGTTTCTCACTGCCTGAAGGGCTTTCCAATGGCAAAATATCCGATATATAATCCGGACTAATGCAACGTTAGGCAAAATAGTGAGTGAAAATGCCCATTTCGGATGCCTTATCATGAGCAAAGAGACCGAAAAACAAATTCATAACTCTTCCTTTCTTAAGAGCTCAGCTTTAACTATCAGCTTTACAAAAAAATGTACTCAACCTAGATCGTTCGTAGTTCACGACATGTCGTGTGTTTAGTTTGTAGAGTTATGAATTTGCTTTTGGTCTTTTTCTCCTGATAAGACATCCAAAATTATCTTTATAACTCTTTCCAATGATGTTACTGGATTCGAAATCGTTTATCCCTCAAGTTTGAAACATGAAGATATACATGAAAGACTATACAAATTGGTTACATGGGGAACAGTTACGCGTGAGAGATGCTTCTATTAATCAATTGGATTAGTACCATGGGCATTTTCAGCCTGGCTTAGTTCCATGGACATTTTCACCTCACTATTCTACCTATGTCTAACGTCGCATTCGTCTGGATTATATATCGAACCTTTTGCCGTTGGAAAGCACTTCAGGGTAGTGACAAACTGAGCTTGTGAGGCATAATAAACAAACCATAAATAGCCTTAGCTCAGAGGAGGAACCACAAATTATTTTGAGTTCATGTGAGATTCTTGATCAACTTGTTTTTGAAGAAGCTGTGATGAAGAGAGGCTTTAATCGGGACATAATTGGAGAAATAAGCAAACTATAATTCTAAGACGATATCAAGAGCCTCGTTTAAGATCGGATGGGTCACCTACTATTAGGTTTCCGCTATCGAATCACCACCATTTATTTTCACGCTCCAGATGTTCAGTCCTGGGCATGAGGGAGTGTGTTAAGAGTCTCACATCAGATAAGATATGGTATGAACATGTGTATATAAGTGGGAGAAATCCTCACCCTACCCAATCACATTTATTAACAGTAGTGACAATCTAGTTCCTCGTGAGAAGCTTCCCAATCCATTGGAAGATGCTAACACAACTTTGTCAACACACTATCAACTTCTGCAGAGGAATGTATGAGATAATAATAAAATATCTAAGTTTACTATTCTAGATTTCATAAGATTTAGAGAATATTTTGTGTGTACAACTGTCCCACTACAGCTGTGATGTTTGTTATTGAATTCCTGGATAATAGAATCTTGTATTTCTCGTTTAATATGAAAATCAATGTACAAGATCTTTCATCAGATTTTATTCTAACAACATTCTCTCTCTAATACCATTTCTAACATGGTATCAGAGCTGACAGTGAACACAAGCAAAACGACCACCACCATGACCAAAGCGTCCTCCTCAAGAATGAAGGCCATGACTTTCAGTGTTTGCAGTGACATAGCTAGTTCCAGAAGGAAAGATAGGATCAGAGACAGAACCTGAGGTGTCAAAAGTGATTTGCGAAGATGTCGAGGACGCCTGTGTAAGGTTTAGTGACACAGGCTCAGTGATAATAGTTTTCTTGTTCTTCTCAAGACGCGACTCATGAGCGAAAAGAAATGATTCAAGCTCATCAATAGAACAAAGTTCATCTTTGCTGTTAACAGCAGCAACAATGGGATCGTACTTCTGGAAGAGCGTCAAGTACGATTTCGAAGAGATTGCAAAGCGGAACAGGATCGCCGACGGAGATGAGAGTCATTAATCTCGCGAACACGAAGAACAAAATCTTCTATCGTGCGCAACCCTTTTGTGAGATTTCAAAGTTCTGAACGGAGCTGACGAGCTTTGATGGTGAGTAAGGTGTTGAAATATTGATGAATTGCAGACCACACTTGCTAGAGTAAGTACAACCAATAAGCTTTGTTAGAAGCGAGTCAAAAAGGGTGGAAAAGAGCCAGGTGCAGATGAGAGCATCTTGTTGCTCCCAATCAAGATATTCAGAGTTGACGTCGTTAGACGCCCTGAGCCAGGAAGGAATTGAGGAGGAACGGAGAGTGTGGTGACAAATCTCTGAAGTTTGTGACCGCGAATGACTCCATCGATTTTTTGTTTCCATTGTTTGAAGTTTTTGTCATCAAGTTTCACAGATATGAGGTGTGAAAGTTTGACGTATGATGACGAAAAGGAAAAGTACCCTGAGGGTTGAACGGAGAAGGTGACGTCATGATTACAAGTCACAGGATCGGAAAAAAAGCTCTAGATACCATGTTAGAAATGGTATTAGAGAGAGAATGTTGTTAGAATAAAATCTAATGAAAGTTCTTGTATATTGATTTTCATATTAAATGAGGAATACAAGGTTCCATTATATAGGAAACCCGTAACAAATTTGACAGCTGTAGTGGGACAGCTGTACACAGAAAATATCTCTAAAACTTATAAAATTTAGAATAGTAAACTTAGATATTTTATTATTATCTCTAACATGCTTCTTTCTATTCAACCCTCTACTCTCTTGCTCATCAAATTCAGGATTCTTTGCCAACAAATTCCGCTATTGTTGGAATCAAAGACAATTAGTCTCTATCTGTTGGCTGATTTCAAAGTTTATGGAAAACAAGTTGACTTCAGAGAGAGTGAGGATTAGTTGACAAAGTGTATGTTTCATTGCTAGAAAAAGTTTTCCATATTCATCCTTCCCTAGAAGAGTACCACAGGAACAGGCAGTGTTGGCTTCTTACAGTACTTGACAGGCAGTGTAATCAAATAGTGGCGCTGGTAGAGGAATTTGAACAAATTGCTATTGTTTAGTGATAAACTATTAAGTAAAAATTGTCTTAAACTAACGAGTACCTACTTCCGCAACA